AGTTCTAAGTATTTCATGTGCGTAATTTTTATTAACATTATTGTCATATGCATAAAAAATGTTCTCAATTGAAAGACCACCCGTAATGAGTTCAAAACATAGGATTTTTATACAGGTAGGAAATTTGAGGAATATCTTTCACAACTTGAATCAAATAATACTGTGAAAACCTGAAAATTTTAATAACACAGACAGCTGCTGAGGCATGTAGGAACTGGCGTCTAGAAAACAGAGCATGTCGCCGAAGATATGGCTCTATCGCCAGGCGACAAGGCTCATATCATGGCGACAGTCTCTAATGGCTGGCGTTGCGTTCTTCCAATATCGAGCCAGAAATTTGCCTTCTTGTTTCGACCAGTTCTAGCACTGTTGGCTCGATTCTACTTCGTGATTGAGTTTTCTCACTTTTCTTAAACCCATATGTGTTCTACATATGAACATAAACCTCTGGGAATTCATGCTCCATCTACCTGATTGAACGCTCTGAGCAACAAAGGGTACATCCGAGAATGTAGAATTCACCAAACCATGGAAAGTGAGTTTAACTCGCGGGGTCCCATCCACACGCGTCAACCCTTCCAAAGGTTAAGCTTCCGCGCGGTGCATCCGGACTCATAACCATTGACCCTGTTTGACTAACCGATATACTAAACTTTAGAGAACTAGAGCCATGGTTAGGTTGCAAACTCATTGCATCATATTATGCCTACTTGGTTACCTGTGCATTATTTGTTGTGCATACTTTATGTGTTTTTCCTAACCGTTTGTTTGACTTGTGTTTAAGCCTAAATAAACTGATTAATGACTAAAAGGACTTTTCTTAATTAATTAATTAATTAATTAATTAATTTGAGTAATCAAAGTTTAATAAACTAATCAAAACTGACTTAGTACGACTTTAAGCCTGTCCCGTAGAGTAAAAAATACTGAAAGTAGTCCCAGATTAACGTTCCAGTAATGGCGCAAAAATTTGGGATGTAGCACCAAACGCTGCTGTGCGACGCCGTGCGACAACTCTGTCGTCTGGCGCTGCACTGCAGTGTGCGGCAACAGTCATGCTGCTTTGGGGACAGTTTAGATTTTTGCTCGAATCATCAGAACGAGTCTAATTAAACAGCTTATTAATCAGTTTGGTTATTTTTTTAATAGCAATAACCTCATTTAGTCCTTAATTAAGTCTAAGCACTTAGTCTCATGGTCATACACAAGTCTTAGCATGTCACCCACACTCACTAGTCTTAGCACACACTTTGCATATGTCACAATAACCATATCTTAGGTTAATGCATGAGTCATTTTCCGTCATTTGAGTGGGGGGTCCAATCAATTCCCATTCTCTTCCACATTCTCTTCCATGTTGAATAGAGATTAAGTCAAAATAAATAATAAAAAAACTTATCCCTAATTTCCCTTTCCACAGTTTAACCTTTTGATAAACCAGTCGGTCGAAAAGGAAAAGCTAAGAAGATAATGGTGAGTCAAGAAGAAGTTAATGAGCTCAAGAAGCAAATGGCTAGTGTTACTGAGGTGCAAAGGACCTTAACCATCCAAATCAATGACCCTGTGAAGAAACAACAAATGGAGCTCATGCAAAAGAGCTTGAGCAAGATATCTAATGACTATAGGTTCCAAGATATTAGTTCGCAAGGGGTCTCTGGGAACAAGGAGCTTCTTCTGCAGAAGTTCAATGCCAACGACATCCCAAAATTCAAGGCTACTAACAACCCCTATTTCCATTTAAGAGCTTTTCAGACCATAATGAGCATTAAGGGGGTTGATAGGAAAATCTTTCATTCCTTGTTATCTCAATCTCTTTAAACCGTTTGTCAACAATGGTTCTTTTCCCCTTGACAAAGAGAAAACCTCTTCTTGGGATTCAATAACAAACACTTTCGTAGATAGATATAAGTGCAACATATAAGACAAAACAGACCACAGACAACTTGAGATGTTAAAACAAAAAGAAAACGAAGGGTTCACTTCTTTCTTCAACAAATGGAGGGAAATTTCTGCTAACATGGTTAAGGTTTCTACCGAAAAAGAATCTGTAAGGATGTTCATCAAGAACCTTCAAGAAAATTATGCAAAGCACTTAAAATACCAACACAACTTGAATACTTTCAAGCCTGTGTATAATATAGGCATTGACATTGAAGATGACCTTCTGAAAGATAATAGTGCAAAAGGAAAGAAGAACGCCCATCCTTCTTCTTCCTCTCCCATTAACGAAGTACATGCTACGAACACCTCTAAACCACGAATCCAAAGGTCGAAAAGAGTGATCGACTCAAGAAGTACTTCAGTAGATGGTGCTTTTGTTGGCCTAGTTAACAAATTGATTCTTCGTCAACCACCTTGATAGGTGGATAACGTCGAGCCATGACGTTCAATATGAACTTCCCGAGAAGCAACCCGGTTTTCTAGCCCTTTCTTTTGATTTTTCAAATCTTTCTATTTCTTTTATTTTTTTAGAAATTTTCTTATCTTTCTTTGTTTTCTTGGATTTAGGTACCTCGGAAATGAGTTGATTAAGATTTTTAACAATTTTGGTGAATATTGAAGGTTTCAAGAGGTTTGAGGTAAATTCAGGTGAAAGAGAAATTGATGTGCAAGTGCGCTCTCGTGCTTGCGTTCTGGTGAATTTTAATCACAAATAAGTGATTTTTGGAAAAAAAAATTGTGATTTTTGGTCTGCCCCCCCGGTGGGTATCACTTAAGCATGACGACGTGAGCGTCAATGAGAGCGTGAGCACAAGAGTAAGCACAAGAGGGAGCAAGCCTCCCTGGCCTTGGCTAGTGCGCACGCACAATGAATGTGCGCGCACGCACCAGTAGGGTCAGAGATTCCCTCTTCTTTTCGTGAAAAACCCAAGCAAAAAATCCCCCTAGCCTCTAGCTGGTACGCACGCACAAGGGGGTGTACGCGCGCACATAAGCAAGGCCTGCCCACCCCCCTTATTTCGTGCCTCAATTCATAGCAGCCCCCTCTTATTGCACTCTCTCCCCCCCCCTCCCCCGACCTTCTTTCCCCCGTCTCCCTTTCACCCTTTCTCATCTTCCTTCTTCCAAATCAACTCCAAAAATCATCAAATTACTCATCCTAATCACATCCCTCACAAATTACAACAATACTTTAATCAATTTCATTAAAAAAAAAATCATAAATTTTGAATTCATTTTCAAAAATATGGGTTAATATTTTAAAATTTTGGGTAATTGATTTTGTGTTTGGAACTTGGTTCTTGGTGTTCTAATTGGTCTATCAATAGTGGGAAAATTATCATTTGTAACAGGCTATTTGTAACGGGCAAAGCTATGCCCGTTACATTAAACATATTCGTAACAGTCAAAATTATGGTCTGTTACAAATATATAATATTCATAACGGACAAAATCATACCCATTATGAATATTATATTATTTGTAACGGGCAAAATACCACCCGTTACAAATCTATATTATTTATAACGGGCATCATAGGTCCGTTATGAGGTCAAGCTGATAAGCTAGAGGAGCTCATTAGTTATTAGGAAAATTTGTCAGAAAAAACCTTTTAAAAGCTTCATTTTGGAAGAAAAAACCTTTTAAACGATTCTTTGCTTAAAAAAACCACCACGATCACTTTTTTGGTTTAATGAAACCTCATCCCTCTTTTCCGGCGTTGAATCCAATTTCAGGCGTTGACTCCAAATTTTCCCTACTTACACCCAATTGTAATTATATTGCACTCCCTCTTTGTTTTCCCTCTTAAGTCTTTCCCCTGCATTCCCTTTCTCTTTTCTTCAATGAATGCTCTACAACACCATACATCAAATTGGGCTTCAATCTCTCTATCATCTGCTGCGCCATTAATACTTCAACCACAACCTGGGGTAAGTGTAAATTCATCAATAATTGACTCGAAATCGTAAAAAAATTGGGGCTTTTTTTGCTGCTGTCAATGGCTAAAGGAGGAAGAAAGGGGATTGTTGCTAGTTGTTTGGTGGTGGTGCTTAAATATAACACAAAACTTGCTTGGATTGTTGAATTTCTTTACTAGAATTGTTCAATTGTTGCCCTACTTTGTTGAATTTCTACAATTTTGTTTGTGTTGGAGTGTTTTAGGTTTAATGGTAGAGTGAATTAAAGAAGACAAAGGAGAACTAGAGTGGGTGCTACAATGGTGAATTAAGCACTACAATTGTTGAACAAATTGTTGAAGAACCCTAATTTAAATTACCTATCAATTGGTATGATCTGGGGTAGATTTGCACTAATTTTTCGTTGGACTGATTTGGGGATATTATAGAGGGGAAATTAGGGAGAACAAACAAAAGAGGGTAAAACACCTAAAAATGGATGCAAGTAGGGAAAATTTGGAGTCAACGCCTTAATTTAAGAGTCAATGCCGGAAAAGAGGGGTGAGGTTTCATTAAACAAAAAAGTGATCGTGGTGATTTTTTTTTAGCAAAGAATCGTTTAAAAGGTTTTTTCTTGCAAAATGAGGTGTTTCTGAAAAATTTTCAAGGTTATTATTAGGATTTCACATACTTCTCCTTAACCGTCTCTCCTCTCTCCTCTCATTCTAACTTTCTCTCTCTTCTCCTCACTCAATCTCCGCCATCTTGGTTTGTTTTGAAAATTAAAGAATCCACAAATCTGTAAACAACCCAGCAGCAGCACTTCACCACCCTTCTCAAAATCTTCTTCTTCTTGAACTCCCCCCCTAAAAACCCCTAATTTCCCCTCTTTCTTTGTCCTCCGAATCGCATTAATGGAGGACCCAATTTTGAATGTCGGATGTACGAATTTCGTCTCCCAGAAGTGGATATGGCGGTTATGATATTTTCAAGGCAATTAAATTGGAGAAATCCGCTTCTTCAAGAGAAAGCGAACAAAGCCCTAGTTTCTCTGTCATCCCATTAGCGAAAATGAATAATTATTCTCTTTTTCTTTCTCCTCCATTACCGCCTATTTCAAACCATTGGTTTTCTTCAAGTTTTTCTTTAATGGAGGTTCAATTTAATTTTGTTTTGTTTTGTTTTTTTTTTTTATTTTTTTTATTTGGGGCGTTAATCCAGGTAATTTTTTTAATTCCAGTTTGTGCGGTAGTTGGAATCGTTTTCTCTTTAACTCAATGGTACATTGTTTCACAGGTTAAGCTTTCCCCTGATTATGTGCGTGCTAACAATAATAAGAATGGATACTTTGAGAGTTTGATTGAAGAAGAAGGTCTTAATGACCCAGGCATTATTGCATAATGTACTGAGATCCAGAATGCTATTTCTAAAGGTGACCTAATTTCTCTCTTTTTAGGTTTTATTTTGATTATTTGTTTCTAGGTTCATTTTGATTTTTTTTATTTCTCGGTTTGTTTGATCTAATTTGTGTGACTTGATTTATGGGTTTATGTTAATTTTTCTGGATATTTTGTTGTATACATTAATTGATTTATGGGTTTGTGTTAATTTTGCTAGATATTTATTGTAAAATCGTTGCATCAGGTAGCTTAGCTATCTCCTGTTTTTATCTTCAAATAAATCTCAGGTTCGAGACATCAAAGCCCTATACTTGTTCCACAATCGGCCTGCTTGGCCCTAGTTTGTGACAGCTGCATTTTGTCATGCAAATTGGTAAGGTTCCACAACTATTATGCACTAATGAGTACTTGATCGAGTAGAGTGCAGCGCATAAGAACTATTGCATAAGTTAGGAGAGAGCGCAGCCTCAATTGTATGGTACATCTAAAAGTCCTATTCTCCTAAATTTGCAAATTGCAGCCATTTAAAATTCATATTTTACAAATTGCAGCCATTTTAATTTTTTTTTTGCAAATTGCAGCACAAAAGTTCGTATAAACTGTAAATTCTAGCCCAATTCAATTTTTACATCGATTTACACGTCAAAAAATTTTCGGTTAAGGTTTTAGGGCCATTTTAGCCCTTGTAATTCTGAATTGAGCTCGAAATTAGCAAAAAAAAATAACATAAGTGTCTCGTTTTGTGTAACAAAAATATATCGATTTGTGGGAAACTGTAAAAATGAGACACTTCCATTATTTTTTTGCTAATTCTGAGTTCAATTCAGATCCTTAAGGACTAAAATGGCCTCTAAAACCTTAGATGAAGATTTTTTGACATGTTAACCGATAAAAAAGTTGAATTGGGCTGCAATTTACAATTTATACGAACTTTTGGGCTGCAATCTGCAAAAAAAAATAAAATTAAATGGCTGTACTTTGCAAAATAAGAATTTTAAATGACTGCAATTTGTAAATTTATTCCAAAAAAAAAAAATATTTTGTTCAGGCTCATCAATAGTGCAAAACCCACGTCCTAGTCTTGTCTTTAAGTAAATTTTAGCTGCTGCTGTCATTTGCAGGAACCATGTTTCCAGCAATTTGTTCTTTATTTACATTTTCCGTAAGACAATTTGTTTCTGTTGAATTTGGAATGCGGTCTGAACGCCTCGTTCTTGGATAATATGAAAATTGGAGTGGCTATCCACTATATGTGTAGGGAAGCTCGTGGAAGAGGAAGAAGGTAGCTTTGCATTGTGGCTTTCCACTATAAGATTCTTTTTTCTTAATTGTGAATGTTATGTAACATAATAATTCAAAATGCTTATTGTTTTTTTTTTTTTAGGATCGGGAGGGAAACTCTAACCACTTGAGCTATCCCTCATTATCTCAAAATGCTTATATTGTGGTTATGAACTCTTGGTCTCTTTGTAAACACTACAACTGTCATTGATTAGTGTACTAACTAGCAAATGGTTTCCAATTTACAAGTATAATATTATATTCTTAGGTAAAAGTAATTTCATTATCTTATCTTTTATGAACGTCATTTTGTCATAGATTCTATTAGGAATTTGAATTCAAAGTTCGATCTCAAAATATCAAATATTAAGAAACGGAGGTTGAAATATCTTGTATAAATAAATAAAAAATATAGTTATCCTTGTCTTCCCATGATACTCCAAAATACTGGTCTTGTTCAATAGTCTTTTGGTTGCTTATCAATTGTTTTCCTCTTTCTAGGGTCTGGCACTACCAACAATTATTGGAGGTAACTTGAAGATGGTGTTTGGAGGCAGCCTCGGATTTGAGATCAAAGTTGCAGCTATTTGGAAAAATGGTGGAAGATGTAAACTATTCAACACACTAATTTAGAGGAAAATAATTTAAATCTGATAGTAGTCTTAAGTAAACTTGTATTATTATTAATACAATTGTGCAAGCTAGCTAGCTGTCATGCAGCATGTGCTAGATATTTTTTTTAATTGGGTCTCACAGTATTCGTAACATGCAAAACTTGCCCGGTACAAATAACCCCATTATTCGTAACGGGAAAAACATGTGCCCGTTACGAATAACAAAAGTGTCCGTTACAAATAATAGGCTATTCGTAATTGACACCTAAAAAGCCCAATACTCGTTACGAATAATGGGTTATTCGTAACGGGCTTTTCACCTACCCGTTACGAATAACCTATTATTTGTAACGGAGAGTGCTCGTTATAAATACGAAAGACCATTCTTAACCGCAGCATACGTAACAGCCGTTGCCCGTTACGGATGACCTTTTTTCCACTAGTGTATAATCTTCATTTGTGCAATTTTCAAGAGTTTTAAGGATTTATTGAGGTATAATTTCTCACTTTCTAGTCATTTTCTTCCTCATTTTTGAAGCTTGAAATCCTTGTTTTTGCTTTAATGGTGGAACTCCATTGTTGGTTCTTTTTGATTTTATTTTGTGTTGAATGATGTTATTTTATGATAATTTGAACCTTTTTCATGAAGAATTTGTTTACCTTTCTTGAGTCCTTGAACCACCATTGTTGGATATTTTCTCTCTCATGAGTATATTATATAATAGCTTAATTTCTTTGATAATTCATTGTTTTGGGATTAATTTGCATATAATGATTCATGTCTAGTTACCTCTTAATTTTGCTTCTATATTTATGGCCTAGTTAGTTTATTGTGACCATTTCTTGTTTCATTCTTGATTGGATTATATTTGTGCTTGATTCTTGAGCAATTCTCTTATGCATATTTCTTAAACAAGGATAATAGTTGATGAATTGCTCATGAATTGCTTTGCTTCTTGTAGATGGCTCCTATACGTCGAAAGAATCAAGCTAGAACAACCACAAGTAAATCCCGACACGTTCCACCTCCTCCTGAGGTGGTGGAGACGGATGGCATTGAATTCTCTAACGAAATGCATTGGGATATATTCATTCAACTAACAAAGAGGAAGCTTAAATCCACAAGGTTCTATGATCAAGCAACTACCAAATTGCTTGGAATTGATTATGATGTCTGTCGCCTTGCCAAGAATCTCGGTCTTTTGGATTTCTTGAACTTGAGTGCACCTACGTATGCTAGGGTGACATATGAGTTTCTCTCGTTCCTTGTGGTTGTCCGTGGTAATGGTGATTCTTCAAGGACGTTGACTTTTCAATTGTTTAACAATGACTATCAGTTATCGGAGTCTTAACTTTGCTCATACTTCTGACTTCCTTGGGCCATTGATGAAGATCATATTGTCTAACCGACAAATGTTAAGATGACTAGTGATCATGAGCATGATGAGCTCAAGTGGTGGCGACAAATCTCGGATGAAGGGAGATATGAACCTCAAACTTCAAAGTCTACATCAATCATCCATCCGGCTATGAGATACTTCAATTGTATTCTCACCTATGCCCGATGCTCTAAAGACCCATTGGGAGCCATTTCCCGTGAGCAAATATGTTGGCTTTGGATAGCCGATCGAGAACCACAAGAGCTTGAGCTTGTTGATTTCACTCAACATTTGATCAACCAATTTATAGACATTCAAGATGGTCTTTCACTTTTGAGAAGCATTCAAAATGAGGGCATGATCTCCATTCTTTCCCTATGCCTTAATGATTCATAAAAGGATTTTCTTTGTGAACTTCCGCCAACAGTACTTCCTTGGGAGAAGATGCCTTCCCACTTCCTCAACATCTTTGCTCTTGTAAGCCAAAAGTTTATCAATCGAACCAAGATCCAAGATATTTTCATTTGTAATGTCTCTCGTTTAAAGGATTGGTTCTTAATCCTAGCAAGGAAGCAACCGACCGTAAGATGAAGAAAAATTCATTTACTTGGAAACCTCCAAAGTGTAACATCGATTCATCTCTTTGGCAGAAGACTAACCATACAAGAACCGCTTCCAATGATGCTATCTCAATGGATTTTCAAGCATTTCCCCTGATTGAACGGGGAGGTACTCCTATCCCTCCTGCCACTTCTTCTACTACACTTGAATTATCCACTTTGTATGCCAAGACAGATTTCATTGCTAATGTCTTTTATTACATGCCTTTAGGGCGGGATTTATCTCTTTGTTATGATTTCCATGCTAGTCGAGTGTATGATTTCCATGTGAGGAGGGGGGAGGATTGAACCTTACTTGAACTATCCATACCTCCCGGTCCAACAAGGACCTATCCCTCAATGGGAACCCTTTTACCCATCCATTGGACCTAAACCTTGTTACCCCTATTAGGATGGTCCACAAATCCATCCTAGTGCTATTGTTGGCATCTCCCTGGCCGCTTACGATTATAGGCAGCTCGGTGGATGCGACTTTACTTATGATCTCGCGAATCTTATGCCTTTCCCAAACCCCGAGAGTTTTGGTATGTAAGGATTGTCGCGCAAGCCAATCCTTGATGATTGGTCTCATTTCTTCGCGATAGATCCTGCTAGGATGTAGGGGAGGTTAAGGGGAATGGCCACTATGGAGGTGAGTTAAATAACTAGCTCAAGTCATGTTTTAGAGACCGGTGAGGGGAGTTCCCACTCTACCCCTTACCATAGTGCGGAGTGACACCATCGTGTCTACCACCCTTTCTTATGTGCTTTATATGTTGCTCTCTTTTTGCCTGTGTGTTATTAGTATTAGAGTTTGGGGGGTAGTTCATTTCAAACTTGGGGGTGACTTATGTTGTTTTTTGTGCTTCACCGTTCCCCCCTTCGCTTTTATAGTTCACTCCGGGTCTCTTTTGCTTGTTGGTATTGATCACTGTTTTTCTCTTGCTTCACTAGTAGAAAAAGGCTCATTTGCGTCACCATATTTGCGTCACTCATTTTAAAGAACGAAGCAAATGTGTATTTTTACCATCCTTTAAAGTTATTTGCGTCGCTTATTATTAAAGAAGCGACGCAAAAAACAAGTGTATGTTAGCTTTCTATCATTTGCGTCGCTCTTATTTATTGAAGCGACCCGCAAATAATAAACTTATTTGCGTCACTCATTTACTGACAAGCGACGCAAATAAGGCAGTGAATAAATTGCGTCACTCTTTTAATAAATGAGCGACGCAAATAACAAATTTTCAGCATTTCAGATTTTGTTATTTGCGTCGCATTTTTATTATAAAGTGACGCATATAAATATTTTGTACTTTAGGTTATTCATTCTGCGCTTTTTTGACCTTAGCTTTTCACGCCTACCTTTCACTAATTCACTAAACATAAAGAAAAAAACAGAGTTGCTTCTACAGAAAACTACAATTCGACCCTTCAATCCAACAAATTCGCCCAAAAAACACCCACAAATTCGCCCAAAAAACTGCAATTCCCCAGCAAATTCAACATCCAAAATTGCAATAAAGTTCAACACCCATAATCGGCAGCAAATCCGAGCAATTTCGAGAAAAAATTTAGACCAAAAACCCTAATTAATTCGAACCCTTAAACCCCAGAAAAATTGATTATTTTCGACCAAAAATCCCCCATTTCGAGCAAAAAATGTACTCAAATCCATACGAATTCGAACACTAGAAACCCCAAAAAATTCAATTAAAAATCCTGCTGAAAAAATTCGAGCAATAACTGAAATTTTCGAGTGGAAAAATCGCTTAATTTCGCCCCCAAAAACCCGAGGAAGTTCAAGCAAATTACAGCAATGTTGAATTTTTGAATTTTCGAGTGGAAAAATCGCTTAATTTCGCCCCCAAAAATCGATTTCGGCTCGACATTGTTGAATTTTTGAAATCAATTTCACCTATGGTAAGATTGCTTCTATTTATGTTCAATCTTTTCATGGTAGATAGAATGTAGCATTTAACTTGAACAATGACTTAGTTTAATTTCAGGTTTAGTGTTAGTTCACTAATTAGAATTTATATGGAGATTTAATTGAATTTTTATAATTTTCAGTCATTGAATTTTCATTTGAGCATATTGCATACTTGTGAATTTCAGTCATTGAATTTTTGAAGTCAATTTTCATCTGAGCATATTGCATAGTCATTGAATTTATATGGCTGTTTTGCAATATACTACTGGTTTCTTGTTTGCATCTTTGAACATTCTGTAGAATAGCATAGTCATTTGAGCATATTGCATAGTCCCTGAAAACGGATATGTACCATACCGGCATACCCAAGCCTAAATAGCATAGTCAATAACGCATGAATAAATTGTTAACTTTGCAATTTAAGCCAGTAGTAACTTTTAAAAACTAAATAACCGAGAAGGCGTTGCATGATAAGCCAGGCCTCTAGCTTATGTCCTAATAGAGAAGTGATATTGTAATTGGAATGCTAGGCTTAATCATCTGGGATCTTTTCTATATTATGTACGGTATAATTATGGAGCAAATATTGAACTTGTTCTCTTTGGGTCTTTGACCTTTAGAAGTAGGCGAATACTTGTGAAGGTATCACAGCCTCACATCAGCCTTAGTTTTTCTCTGGCGTGTAGGAAATTGTCTTTTACTTTCTCTATGTAGTTTAGTTAAGTAAGGAGCTTATTATTACTTCATGTTATTGGAGTAGGAGTGCAGTCAACTTGACATAGTTGTTCACCTGCAAAGCCTACTTTTATGCGATCTGTTCTTCCACCCAGTGAAATACTATTGCACTGTTCAAAGCCTGGATACAATTTGCGGTAAAAGTTTTTTGGGGCTTTTTTTATTTTGAAATACCATGGTTTCTTTGAAGTTTCAAACTTCAAACTAAAGTAATTTAATAGATTGTGTTCTTTTACTATGCATAATTGTTAGTGCTCCATTTTTTCTGCAAATTTGTTTGCATTTAGTCTGTAGATTTTTACAGTTGCTGTTTTGCAATATACTACTGGTTGACATCTATGATTCTTTGAATGTCTTATTAAAATTATTTTTTATCATTTAATTTTTTTGTAGGCATCATCATAATGGGCGATGGGAAGCACGAATTGGGCGCGTTTATGAGAACAAGTACCTCTACTAAGGCACTTTCACTAATGTCCTGAACTC